TCTCTTCCCCCATTTCTAAACCAGTATTACACGAAACCCCTGCTAACTTGACAGATATTCTGTGGGAAACCAGTATCATAACAGCTATGTATGGCTAGAAATAAGTTAAATAACAACATAGAACTATTAGAACCTCTGTATTATATGAGTATGTGATATTTTATATCTGAATCTGAATGATATTTGCTTTTACCGTGATCCTTGGACCTACAAAGGACAAGCATACACAGTAAGTCATGGTATTGTCAGTTTATAAGAGAAATATTCTCTCATTAGAAGTTTCTACTATCGCTCTTAAAGTAAGAGATTAATATATGTCATTACTATGTCAGATAGTATTTTTTTCTGTCACAGGAGCAGGCTCTCTGAGTACACAGGGACGGAGTTTCTAGACACCTGCATGAACAGGCGTAATGACCTAAATACCTTATTAGTGGAGATACAACAACAATGTAATGGCAACCTGAGTTTGGCATTGAATAAACTTGATATTGAGTAATTTTCTATTTTTATGTAATGTTATTATAAAGCAACATAGCAGGGCTAGGAAATAGCCATGAGTAGAAACTCTAACAGTTTGATTTGAAAACGGTTTATTAGATTAGCATCATACTTGGGCACCCATAAAAAAAGTATTAATACTGTTTTTATTAACAGTTAAATATATTTTTTATAATGATGGACTGCTCAAAAGTTACTGTGCATTAGAATAAATTTAGAATTGTTGTCAAATTAGAATATGATAGAGTGTATCAGCAGTGGACTGTTGTGGAAAGAACATGGACTTTGGAGCCAGACAGATCGTGTTCAGATTCCAGGGCTGCAACTCAATATCTGTGTCTGACTTAGGTCTGTTACCTAACTTCTATCCCCATGTGTAAATTTGGGATAAAATACCAATCCTCTGTTATATACATTAAATGAGATTTGTGTGAATTGTTGAGTATGTTATTTTTCCTCCATGTTATGCATCTCTTTTATTTTGATATATGTCACTTTACTAGGCACTAAGACTAATTGTAGGCTATAACTTACAAATTATCCTTTTTAGAATAAAATATTTTCAGTTTCTACTGACTATGTTACTTCTTATCTTTGACTTTCCCCCATCTACATTTAAAAATATCTATGCATTTTCTTTTTATTGCAAGGATATTGCATTCATTTTAAAAAATATATCTGATTTAGACCAGATAATATGATAAAATTTTGAAATATCGAAAGTCTGTAATGAAATCATTTTGAAAATTTTATATACACAGAAATTATTATGAAAATGAAGCATTATTTTGTATATATTATATTTTAAAAGACTGAGCAATTTATAAATTGTCAAGATGGAAAAATATTTTAGGGAATATTAGATTTAATATAATGTTTTGTATAAGTTGTGATAGGATTTTTTATTTTTTACACCGACTGCTATTTGTAGTAACATGTGCTGCCGTGAGCGACAACCTCCTCAAAAATAAGCCATTCATACAATTTATGAAAAACTCGATGGGCATAACTGACATTTTCTGCTTGTGTCCACTCCACTACTTAGAAAATGATAATGTAGCTGAAATATTGTCTAATTTTATGGAGCAATAAAAAATTTTGTAGTTTGTTCTTGGGCAGGAATATTTTATAAAACACAGACAGCATCTCCATAGGGGCAGACATGACAGTGTTGGTAATGAGAAATATCAGAAGTAATAAACAGCAGAATACACTGCTTTCTATATGCATGGAATTATGATAAACTAATCTTTGATTATCTCATTCAATACCATATAGTAAGTGGGCATTCTATTCCACCTTTTTACAGATTTGGAAGCTGTGGCTTTCACATAGCTTGTAGCTTGTCTTGTAAAACTGACACCGTGACACCAAAGCCTAAATTCTGCTCTACTACTCAAGGACCTGACTGTGATACCTGTCATTCCTGTCCCACTGACTTACTAAGCACCTCGTATGTGCCGGCTATTCAGAATAAAATGGAGAGCAAAACGAGCCATGGAAACGTGCCTTCATGTGGTTTAGTGGAAGGGACATAGGGTCATTAAACAAGTGACCACACTAATAATTGTATATATTACAAACTGTGGTAGGTGAATGAGAGGTACTGTAGGGTTATGAGAACAGAGAATATGATGAAGGTTATTTATATGGCATCCCTGAGGAAGGGGCACTGAGGCCAGATCTAAAGGATAAGCAGGGAAGAACTAAGCAAGGAGCTGGAGAGGAACTTCCTAGGCTTTAGGTGAAGCCATGTTAAGAAGCACTCATAACTGAAGGGAGTAGAGGTGTTCAGTAATTGAAAGGAGGCCAGTTCAGCTATAAGGAAGAATGTGTAGGGAGTAACTGGAAGGATGATATTGGGAGTTGAGACTGTAATAAAAATTTTAGAATCAGAAGAGAGTTTAGTAAGGTAGATGAATTAAAAATCTACAAAAATTCATAAGTTTTTTATTTCATAGTAAGAACCAAAAAGAAACAGAAATGGGAAAGGAATGCCACTCATAAGAGAAACTAATGATATAAACACCTAAGAATACTGTTTTTAAAATGTCGAAACCTGAGTGAAAAAGATTAGGAAATTTTAGTTATTTAAAGACAAAAATCTAAATCTAAACAAGTTGAGAGTCATGCCATGTTCTTGTATGGAAAATTAATATAATCAGAAAGTCCTTTTTCTGAAATCAATGTATAAATATAATATAACTCTGCCAGAATCCCAGTACGGATTTCTTTGGAAGAGGAAAACTATTTTAAAGTCTATATAAAATATGAATGTTCAAGAGTATCATCAAGATATGTTTTTCTAATTCCATTTTAAATATTTATTATGGTTAATTATAAAGTTTTAACTTTTAACTATAAAAAATTTTGAAAATATATATCTTGGCTGTTAACTTTTATTATTTATTTTTATCTTTTTTTAATTAAATTTGTTGAGGTGACACTGGTTAACAAAATCATACAGATTTCAAGTGTACAACTGAATAACATGTCATATGTATATTGCATTGTTCACTGCCCAAAGTTAAATTTCCTTCTATTACCATGTATTTGACCCCATCTACTCCTATGTAACTTCCCCCTCATTTCCTTCTCTCTGGTAACCACTAAACTGTTGTCCATGTCCATGAATCTCTGTTTGTCTTGTTTGTTTGTTGCTTTCATTTTATATCCCACATATGAGTGAAATCATATGGTTCTCAACTTTTTCTGTCTGAGTTGTTATGCTTAGCATGATTATCTCAAGATCCATCTATGTTGTCACATACAACAGTATTTCATCATATTTATGGCTAATATGCCATTGTACATAAGTACCACATCTTCTTTATCCAATCATCTATTTAAGAACACTTCAGTTGTTTCCATGTCTTGGCCACTCTGAATAATGCTGCTATGAAAATCAGGGTGAATATATCCTTACAAATAAATGTTTTCAAATTTTGGGGGTGAATACCCAGAAGAGGAATTACTAGGTCATATGGAAATTCATAATTTTTTGAGGATATTTTATGCTATTTTCCATAGTGTTTGTACCAATTCACATTCTCACCAGCAGTGTATGAAGGTTCCTTCCCTTCTACAACCTCTCCAACACTTGCTATTACTTGTCCTGTTAATAATAGCCATTCAAACAGGTGCAAAATGGTATCTCATTGTGGTTTGATTTGCATTTCCCTAATAGCTAGTGAAGTTGAGCATCTTTTCATGTTTGTTGACTATTTGTATGTCTTCTTGGGAGAAGTGTCTGCCCATTTTTTAATTGGATTTTTTTTTATTGTTGAGTTATATGACTTTGTATATTTTTCATATTAGTCCCTTATCAGAGGCATTGTTTGCAAAGGAATTTTAGGAAGAGGAAACTTGCTTTACCAAGTACTAAATATGAGTAGCTACTATAAAGCAACTGTAATCTTAACAGCATGATGTAGCAATAATGAAAGACAAAAAAAAAATAATCAGTGGAAAAAATACAGAATTCAGAAGTATATGTGAGAACTTAGCGTATTTTGAAAAAATAAAAATCTACTAGATGCATCTTTATTTTCAAGACTTCATAGCCTGTTATTAGAGATGTATGATGTTTTTATTATGATTTTTAGAATGTAATAACACTATATTATTTCCTATGTACATACTCTTTAATGTATTTCAAACTATATTTATTATTAATTATATTAGAAATTTTACTTTTCCAGAAAAAAGAATTCATTTTTGAGTATGTAATGTTTTCATGACAGTGGTATCATTAAGTTTTTATTAGCTCAAAATGAAATGTGAATGTTAATTTACCAAATCCACCTTTGACTGTTGGATAAGACAGAGATATCAGGGCAGATATTTAAATATTTAAGAGGTTGCTAGATATTCTTACAGTGATAAATTAGAAGCTTCTAAAAGGAGAGTACATACAAATCATGGTCTGTGTGATTAACATTTGTCAAATACCGTTGAAGCTCTAGTGTAGATGAATGACTGTATATTATAAGTTGCCCAAATGTTAGCCACATAAAAACAGGGTCTCTAAAGTAAAGAAATAATTAAAATAGATACATTGTTCTTAAGGTTATAATGATGAATTCACACACAAATGGATTAATTAGACTTTCAATTTCTAGAAACATACCTTCAGGTCCTTGAAAAACTTTCTTCTATCCATGTTCATTATTGTCTTTATAATTGTCCAATTAATTCATAAATTCCCCAAAGAACACAGTGAATAATGATATAAAATTTTGTTTCACATGTGTAAGCGAAACTTTAAGTTTGAAGATTATAACTACCGGATTATGACTGTAGGATTTGTGTAATTCATGACAGGAGTAAGGTGGTTCCTCAGGACAAGACATTTGAAACACTAACAAAGCTTAAACCTGGAAGTGGATAAATCAGAAAAGTGCACATAATTTAATACGTCTCCTGAATTAATCAGAATGAACACTTTTATTTGATATTAAAGGTTATTTTACTTCAATGTTTCTCTATTTTTTATATAGGGAAGATGTAAGAACGGCAAACGTAATTGCTGCAGAAGCTGTCACCTGCCTTGTGATTGACAGAGAGTAAGTACATTGCTTTATTATGCATATTGCATACTCATATCAATGACATGTATAAGGTGCTGGAATTAGACATCATTTTATGGAGCTTTTAATACTTGTATTACATTCTTTCATTTTAAAATGAGTTCTATATTTGATTCTCATTTCCTATTAGTTTTGGAGGTGGATGGCTCTGCCATTCTAGCCTTGTGATCTTCAACAAGATACTTAACCACTATGAGCTTTACTTCATTTAGTTCATCTGTAAACCGGGGATGATGTTGCTTAGCACGATCATCTTGAGATATATCTATGTTGTTGCAAATGGCAGCATTTCATCTTTTCTTATGGCTGAGTAATATTCCATTGTAATATGTACCACATACTCTTTATCCAATCACCTAACAAAGGGCACCAGTTGTTTTCATTTCTTGGCCACCATGAATAACACTGTTATCTATCTTTATGAATAAATGTTTTCAAATTTTGGGGGTAGATACCCAGAAGAGGGATTACTGTGCGGTGATTCTATTTTAAATTTTTTGTGAAAACTCCACGTTGTTTTTCATAGTGGCTGTACCAATTTACATTTCCATCAGTAGTGTATAAAGGTTCTTTCTTCCCCACAACCTCTCTAACACTTGCTATTACTTGTCTTGTTGATGATAGCCATTCTAACAGGTGTGAGGTGGTATTTCATTGTGATTTGGATTTGCATTTCCATAATGGCTAATGAGGTTGAGCATCTTTTCCTATTTCTCTTGGCCATTTTTATGTCTTCTTGGGAGAAATAGACATAGGCATATATTTAGGGCCATTAAACATTTATTCCATGATGCCTATCCCTGATCTTTCTCTCTAATTTGGGTTGCTATTCTCATTACCTGAATGCTTTATGAGTTTCACTGCAAATATCAGACTATTGACTCTCCAAGAGCATGGTTAAAATGCATGGACATTACCTGAAAGTAGTCCACCAGATTCATCCTCATTATAGTGTTTATGGATAAGTTTATCAGAAAAGTCAAGTGCCTGACTCAAGGAGAAGAACTTTAAAACACCCACTTAATGGTGTCTTTTGAACCGAAATAGGCTGTGAGTGTCAATGTGAAATGAAAATGAGGGAACAGATATGATCAGCTCAGAATGGTGGATTCAAATGTTGAGCTCACAGGGTTCTGGAGAGATCTCACTTGATTCACAAATCTCACTTTGGGAGCCCCTCTATGTTGGAGGTCTAGATACAGAGCAGTGCCACAGCTGCAGAATGATGGTTAGATCCGCGAATATTTCTGAAATAGGTATGCTTTGTCTGGTTCCTAAAACCAACAGTAACTCATTCTTTCCTTCGACTAACATTTTACTAAGGATCTACCGTATACAAGACATTGTTAGGAGCCATGAGAAGAATCAAAGGAGCAGCATCGATCCTGGTTTGGTGGTTAGCTTCTAATATAGGAGATGTGGTGTATACACAAAATAATCATGATGCCAGGCAGAATGTAAGAAAGGTCCAGAATGCACATTTATGGGAGTTTGGATAAAAGAGTGACTAATTCTGAGGAGACTCGAGGAAGTCTTCATGAAAGAAATGGTATTATGAGGGAGATTTGGAAGTATAGGAGAGGCAATACAAATAGAGTGAACAGTATAGGCCATACTCATAAAGAAAGCCATTTCAACCAACTAGAGCGAGATTGGATAAAGGTCACTGGGGCTAGCTCACCATGAACATTGAGTACTGGGATAAGGGCAACTCTGACAACTTTTTGCAGCAAAATAGTGTCACTGTAACACTGTATTTGATAGGCTCATCTGAGAATGCAGTGTAAGATGAATTAGAGGGTGAGGCTGGATTCATAGTATCTGGTTAGGAGTCTATAAATTCAAGCAATGATCCTAATACCATTTATAGGAGGAATGTTTAATGTAAAACCAGAGGGCTTAATACTTGACTGAATATGGAGCGCAAGAAAGAAATCAGGGTTGTAATCAAGATTGAGAAGATCTAGAAGGAATATAGAAGAATCAGTTTAGGAGGCACAATGGTATTTCACTAAAAATATAATTAATTTTGTATACATATTGGACAATAAAGAACAGATGCCCTGCAGGAGGTGCAAAATGTAGGACAAGAACTCTTGTTTAAGTTAATTAAAAATTAACTTAAAATTTGTTTATATAGAGTTAACAGCTGAGACTATGAGACCAAATGAAATTGTGTGAAAGGATAGAGAAGCTAAAAAGACCAAGTTTAGAATTTCAGAAATTCTTACATTCAAGAGTTAAGGAGAGGAAGAAAAAAACAGTGAATAAAATTGAGGTGTTAGCAATCAGAGCAGTGTAGGAAACTTCAGAAACTAAGAGAAGGTTTCAAGAAAAAAATGGATAATCAGCAGTGTTAAGTGCAAGTGAGAAGCCAAAAGACATACTTCTTAAGAAAAGGGCAATAGGTTTAGTTACCTGGGAGAAGAATTTTAATAAAGTGGTGAGAATGGAATATAGATTACATAGAATGAGTGGGAATTGAGTAAGTGACAGGCTAAACAGTTCTTTCTTTTGAGAAATTTAGTTAAAAGAAGAGAGAGAGCCTGAGGAATTAGCAAGGCCTTGGAGAGTTTCCTTATGATGGGTGTGCACGAGAATCCAGGAAGATGGAATAAATGAAATATTATAGGGCCTATCTGAGGAAAATGAGGCCACAGGGGAAGAAATTGTGGGCAAACAAGGATAGATTACTTGGAGAACATATCCACCCCCGCCCCCCTGCCCTGAAAATAGAAAAAATTAAGAAAAAGAGAGAGACAGAAAATTTACAGAGATGTAGATAAGGAAAGTTTTGTAAATAAGGATGTCCTTAATTTTGCCTCTAAAGCATAAAGCAAGGAAATCTGGTGGGGGCAAGAGAGTGAGTGGGCCTGAGGATCTGCCAGCTAATTGGGAGTGAATGGGTAAAAGTATCAGTTTAAGTCCCTATAGTTATCATTTGTGAATTTACTCATGTACAGAAAATTTACACAGATGTAGATAAGGAAAGTTTTGGAAATAAGGATGTCCTTAATTTTGCCTCTAAAGCATAAAGCAAGGAAATCTGGTGGGGGCAAGAGAGTGAGTGGGCCTGAGGATCTGCCAGCTAATTGGGAGTGAATGGGTAAAAGTATCAGTTTAAGTCCCTATAGTTATCATTTGTGAATTTACACATGTGTGACATCCTTCCTGGAAGGTAGATAGGATATTTTACGGAAGAGGAAATTGAAACCCATAGAAGTTTAATAACTTGAAAGAGTTTCAAGGTAAATGGTAAAACCCAGATTAATCTAATCATGGAGATCAAACTGGGTGAGACTTTGTGAGTCATCTAGTCTAGCTTCTTCATTTTAGTTAACCGAGGTCCTGAACGATGAAGGAGTATCAAATAGCACCGCACATTATAGTTTTGCCTCATCCTAATTTTCTCTTTTTTCGAACCTAGTCGTATACAATACATTGTGAAGAGTGCATGGGCTTTGGCAAATACAGGTCAATACTTGAATCTTGACTGCATCATTTTATGACTATATGGACGAGTTACATAAATTCTAAGTCTCAGTTTCCACATCTGAAAAAAAAAATGAAATAGTAGTACCTAAATTATAAAATTGGTTTGAGGATCAATTTAACATATGTAAAGGTCCATTGACAGCACAAGGTATGTAATAAACACTCAATAAATGTCCCTTCCTCTTCTTACAAAAAGACATACAAATGTTTTGGATTTAGCAGTTTTTCTCTATAATCAGCATAAGTCTCCCTTCAGAGATATACATTCAGAGGGGACACCTTGAGAGAAGTCTAGCTTTAAACATAAATATGAAGAAGATGGCTTGAGTACAGGACTCAAGAAGTGATTTCTGAACTTTTAGAAGACAGGTTGAGCATCTCACCAAACTGAATTTATAGCTTAACAGGAAAATCAAACTGTAACAAAAGGATCCTGTCAAAAGCATGCTGCTGGTTCCTAATTTATTGCCAATTAAGGGAGCACCAGGGCTTCATCCCATGCAAACAGATGGCAGATATTAGAACTGTCAACAAGAGGAGCTTCTTTCTCAAATTTATAAGCAAGGTACCATGTTACAGAAGCCAGTGATTATGATTTATCATTCCAGAAGGAGAGCAAAAGAACATGATTGCAACTAATCATGCATGTCAGAATTTTTTAAAATACTCATTGACAAACTAGAAAATGATAGATACATGGTTTCCTCAACAAGTATTCTCTGAGAATTGGTTTCTTGAACCTAATCATTATCTTAGTAACTATCAGCAGTTATTCCAAAATTTGTGAAATTAAATTAAAAAAGAATATTAGTCTAACAGAACAATCTCTTTCTATGATATTTTTTAATACATAAAACAACTAGCTCTCTTTAGTGCCTCCTTGTTTTGGAATCCTCAAAATAAAATAAATATAAAAGTAAGCACATTATCGTGTTTCATGATCAGTTACAGAATGTCTACCTCTTCATTGGCATGAGATATTGTTGATGAAGCTAGAAGTACAAGTAAGATCATATTTCTTTTGACCTGTTGAGATCATTGTTAAAGACAGTAACATAACACTAGTAAATATTAAAAGAATTACATATTTTTTCCCCCAGGAAATTAAGTTCTAAGTTAGATTTGTAACTCTAGTACTTATTTACTGGGTAACTTCCAAGACGTAGGCATACTATTATGAAAATTGAAATATTTTCATACCCATTGGTAAATAATAGTTTAAGCTCCCTGTGTGTCCCTTCCACCCCTCTGCTGTCCTGGTCATCTGATTCCCACCGCCAGGACTCTCCAGATCTTTCCCTGATCCAACAACTAAAAGGTGACAGCTGACAAACATTAGGACCAGTTTTCATTCTTGTTGGTCAGTCCTGTGCCATACTGGCTTTTAATTATTCTATCATTCCTGGTAATGTCGATCTTAAATGACATCACCATTGGTTTTTAAACTTTTGTTTTACCAAATCCATTGTTCAAATAAAATT